ATTAACTAACAGAATGGTCAATCACCGTTTAATAAAAAGAAAGATCCACTTACACATGAAAAGTTTTTTCCTATTCTATGCATTTTCACAAAACGAGTACTTGTAGCTAGCGAAATTACTAACTGTTTCATTGTTAGTAAAGGATAAATGACTTTCGGAGAAATGTAAACTGTTTCAAAGCATTCTGAGAAGAAACAGACATTAAGCAACTGACCTCATCTGATGACAATTTCAGTTTATCTTCTGGATAAACGACATTTTCAAAAACATGATCAGGTCAAATTTAAGATTGTTAGCCTTACAGTTTTATCTGATCTAATACTTTTCAGCTTTGGTGACATAGTTAGCAGACAAATGTTTTCTGTTTTTTTTAAAATACCTTGTATGACAGTAACTTTCACTGCCTATTATAGTTGAAATAAATTTAGTATATGGTGTATCTTAAGTCTGAAAATCAGAGTTAACCACTGAAATAAGTGATCGATCCTTAAGGCGGTGAAATAAATGTTGTAGATACCGATGACATAGCTGATTGTAATGGACTGGATCATGTGGCAGACCGTGGGAGGAGAAGAAAACAAGAATAAGTTGGGCTGACAAGAACAGTTTAGAAAGTAATGACTTCGTGGATGACTAATGTCGGATGTCACACAAAGTTGAAGAATTTTGGGCGAAAACTGATGAACTTTCAGATGGGTCAAACACTGAAGACTGTATTTCAAGTGAATATACAGAAAATAGAGGTAGGTGAAGATATCCAGCAACCAACAATAAGCATCAATCACTATCGACAGGAGAAGTTTGAAGAGTATCATTCCTTGCACTTATCCAGGCAGCATCGTTTCAACTACAGATGGCTTGAATGAGGATGCCAAAGCAAGGATAAAAAAAGCAAGACAGTTCTTTATTAATCTGAAATCAGTTTTGAAATCCATTTCACTCTGCACAGAGTACGAGATTCGGGTTTTTAACAGTGATATCAAGCAATTCGGTGTTTCTGTGTGCTTCGCAGACTTGGTCCACGCATCACTAAAACATTTTCAACAGGCTACTGCAGAATTTAATCAGTAGCTGCCCTCACTAGCTTCATGCTGAAGATCAAATGGCCGGCCAGGAATGATTAGCAACAGGAAACCCTGGAAAAGAGCCAACTATGAATCTATCGCCTAACAAATATGCAGAAGAAAGTGGAGATGGATAGGACACACACCCTGAATGATATCGCAAACTCGGCAATCCCTTCGATGGGAAAGAATTGGTTGGAATTGTGTCCAAGGATGAAATGGATGAAATGAAAATTAAGTGAGGAATCATGGAGGCACTGAAAGAGGACTGAGGAGAACAGGGTGAAGTGAAAATGTACTGTTGGGGCCCTATATTCCTCTGTGAACCCAGAGTAATAATAATAATCTAATAATGTGTTCTGTTTAAACAGGATTGTCCAGGAAGTATTATTATTATCATTACTCATTACTCAATGTTATTTACTGCCTTTTTAGTGACGCCTAATGACACATAATATCTAAATCTAACTATCCTAACTTTCTAAGGTACCCACAGTAAACATTTTCGTAGGTAAACAAAATCTGGGTTCAAGGAATTTTGTATTCACTTACTTTTATTCTAAATCGTTACTTGAAATGATATTCTCTGTAATTGTAATGACTAGCAATATGAACACAGATTGACATAATTCATCAAAACTATTAATGTGGGAGTTGTGATTTCATGCTGTTAAACAAAAGATATTTTTATAGCATTGCCAGTTTGATGATTGTGGTTAATATTATTATCTATAATCTAAAACTATTAGTAGTATTTATGATGCAGAAATTTCAGTCATTATGTCTGGTGTGTCTTATTACGCGTTGTATAGTAGAGATCATTCACACATACACTCTCTACTGATCGTTTGTATGAAGTTATTATATTTTAGGTATTCACAGGTGAAAACAATCCATTGAAAATGTTATTGAGGTAAGTAAGATACGTTTTTATTATCTTAAAGCTGTAATAGTAATTGAAATCAGATGTAAAACTTGCATTAATTCAATTCCAAAGTATTAGTATCAGTATCGTATGGCAAAATAAGAAATTAATATCATTTCTGTTTAAAGATGTGCGGGAAGGACCATCTATACATATATGATAATTTAGTTTGTGTCATTATGCATGAATAGATCTGATTTATTACTATTAGTATGACTTGTATTCATAATTATATCATATATATATATATATCCTGCTGAGCTAAATTTAAAATTATCTTTGCAGTGTTCATAGGAAATTCCCCAATTGAAAGAAACTCTTTTAAAGAATAAAGCCATTCTGTAATTTATATGGGTGTAACATTCTATTTAAAAATTTGCTTTTCTCACTTCTGTGTATAATTTTGCTCAGATGCATGCAAACATCTGAATTTGCACGGAAAAACTACTTTAATTTATGCATGGATTGATGTAATTACTTTAAAATGGCTAGATATTATGTTTCTCTGCTTTTGTCAAGTCTACATTGCAAATCATCCACCTGAGCTACAAATCTTCTCTATTATTGTACGTATCTTTTTGTTGAATATAATGGGACTTTCTTTTGTTTGATTTTTTTTCCCTTCACGTTCCCCAGTGGAACCTAGGGCTTCAAGCTAGTGGCTTGAAGTTTCTGTAGCAGTGTTTATTTTACAGGATGGGGTTGCTAGCCTCATGCCCAACTTTTCCTCTTCACCAGCATTATATCTGGCTTAGCGAGGTAAAGGAGTGCGTCGGCTGGGGATCGAACCCCGGACCATGTGCATGGTCGGCGAACGTCCTAACCGCTATGCCACCGACGCACCTTTTGTTTGATACGTCTGGTTAATTTATGTCGTATAGTTATTTTATACTACTACTTCAACTTGTATCACGTAACAGTCTACTTGTAAAGCTGGATCTAGTTTTTATGCTTGCTGATAGTTGCCATCCGCTACAACATATTTACATCTACATCACACCCTAAAGCTATCTTGCAGATGTCATTTGGTAAATGGTGACTAGCAGTGGAATCCAGGATCCGAACTTCGTCCTGTTTGGGACTATTCAGCCGGATAAACCTACATTCACAGTGGGTGATTATAATCCTGCTGAGACTCGAATCCAGTATTATTCGTTTTAAACGCCGAAGTTTTGCCTGCTAGTTCGCATGGGTTACGATAGACACGTGTTGTACAAAGGGCATTATTTGTTTTAAAGTGAATTCTGGTTTTCGCGTTGACTGATTAGACAGAGATTTTTGGCCTCTGTTAACAAGTTCGCTCCTGACACGGACACTTCGACGATGTCTGAGGATTAACTTAAAGTAGTTTGATAGATGGTTGCTAGCAGTGGGATCCAGGATCCGCGTTTCATCCTGTTTGGGGGTCATCACTTGGATGTACCTGAATTCCCCAGTGAGTGATGGTGTTCTCAGTGAGACTCGGTGCCAGTGACTATCGTGTCAAATACCAAAGTGTTGTCCACTAGACCACTTAGCTCACGAAAGCCACCCCTTGTGCAGCGCTTGAAGTTTGAAACGATTAGTGTTGGGTTCGAGTCTCAGAGGGAACACCATGACTCACTGGGGATCGTAGGTGGATTCGGCTAACAAATCCTAAATAGGTCAAAATACGCACCCTGGATTCCAACACTAGTCACCACCAATCCTAAAACATCGTCGATTCGTTCTTACTAGGAGCCAACATGTCAAAAAAGGTTAAACATTTCTGTCCAGTGTAATCAACAAGCAGGGAATATAAAATTAGCTTAGACTATCTTGAAGATTTTGAATAATGTCATTAGAAGTCTCATCATTAATAAATACGACTTGATTGACGTGTGTATTTCCTAAATTAAAATCAAAGTTAAAATCAACAGTAGGATACAATAAAGGAGCGAAGAAATCAAAGCTAAAAATCGAGTGGTACGTTGTTTTCATAATTCTATAGCGAATTGACCTACAGTTGAAACTGTCCCATACCACAAGGTAACCACGACTTTTCAGTGAGTCACAAATTAACAAAGTTAGAATTCACGAGTCATTGAATTCCTGCCCAAGGGCTGAAGGGCCAGTGAGCTTGGTTTCGCATTCTAAAAGTCCCAGGTTCAATCCCTGCTGTGATTCATGAGTGCTCACCGCTGAAAAGTCCAAAACTAGGATGAAATAACTATCCATTTATCCCTGGTCATCACTGACCTCTCTAGCTAAATGTTGTTGGTTATGACAAAATCCAATAACCGAAATTTCAATTGATTCTCCTACTCTCTCTCTCTGTATCTGTCTCTTACTTTCCTTTTCATCTTTGCATCTGTTCACTAATCTGTCCATTTGATAGTTTTCTCTTCAACCAAATTTTTAAAAAATTTCTTCTAATGCATTAAAATATGGACTTTATTTATTTAATGTCAGAGACAAGTCAAGCATTCATTTCCACTCCCTTTTTCTTACCCCATAGAAAAAGTCTTTTTTTCTTAACATACATATTTTGACAGTTAAGTAAGAATTTAGGATAGAAAAATGCTATTTACATTTAACCAATAGAATGTAAACACAGAATATTAGATCAAATTTTGATTTTGTTTGCATGCAGGAGCAGCAGCAGCATAGAAAATGTTCCCCTTTCTATCCTACACTGTATAGACAGTGAATGGTCAGTGAGGCTTTTTAAAAAAGCTTTATTTCTCTACCCTTTTTATTGATAGTAGTTTCATGTTGTGTTTAACTTTTCGCCCAAAACATTATTACACACAGGAGAGAGAGAAAAAAAGGCACTTCACTACAAATATAAGTGACTACGAGTATTTATAATTGATTTCCTATTGGTTAGGATACTTCACACCAAAGCAGAGTAGAACAGAGTTTTTTTTCCTCTGTTTGTTTGAAGTAATTTCATTGTTATCCTCAAAATAAATAATAATTAGCTTCCTGTCCATCAAAACGTTGAGCAAAAATTAACGTATATATATAACTAAATACACTTTATTATATACTTATATAAATTGTATTATAAATCTAAAGTATGCACAGGATGTCATACAAGCAACACTTGCAACAATCAACTGGACCTACTGGATTTATTAGTAATTTCAGTATACAATCTATGCTGAATTTATCCGATGAACAAGACTATGCATCATCATCATAATGAGAAATACAGCAATGAAATTATCAGTCAGAATGATGATATAAAAGAAAATATGACAAGTGAATTATCATTTTTCACTTCATATAATTCCTCCTCTGAAATGACTACGCCATCAATGTCGACTATCCAACAAAATCATTGGAAACAAAAGGAGTTCAGTAAAAGTAGACAGAATATTAAAGCCGATATTGATATTTTTCATAATTATCATCATCATCAATTCGACCATGAATCACCAAGTTCTTCTACATGGAATAATTCTTCTTTCAGTTCAAATGACAATATAATCACATCAGTCTCATCAGTTTCTTCAAGATATTCAACTAATCCAATTACATTATTACCACCAGGATTATCGACTACAACAATATTGAATGATGAAAATATCAATCATCATTCATCAGTAATGACTAATTTCTCACTGCCTGAAGATACATCGAATTATCATTCAACAAGTGATTCCCAGTCAGTAAGTCCATTAACTCCACAATCTATGTGTCATTCATTATCTGAAACCATGTTATCTAACAGGGCTTTAACTAGTTCACCGATACATGAAAAACGTAAAGTTAGTGATAACAATAACGATAACAATAAGAATGATACTGATACAAATCATTTTGATGATATCAAAGAACACTTTGAAAATAATGGAAATAAACGACGATGTCTTGAAGGAAACAGAGAGAAAAGTATTGCTGGTGAAGATGATAGTGATGGAGAAGAGGCAAGTAGCGAAGAAGTAGAAGAAGAAGAAGAAGAGCCACCAGAAAATGAGGAAGAGTGTAAAAGTCAGGAGGAGAAAGAGTATAATGCAAATGATAATGATCTCCAATCGAAGTCAAGTAAAACAAAGAGTAATTCTGAATCAGATAAACCTCCATTCAGTTATAATGCATTAATTATGATGGCTATTAGAAGTAGCCCAGAGAAACGTTTAACACTGAATGGTATCTATGATTTTATTACTACCAACTTCCCATATTATAAAAATAATAAACAAGGTTGGCAAAATTCTATCAGACATAATTTATCACTGAATAAATGTTTTGTTAAAGTTCCACGTGCCTATGATGATCCTGGTAAAGGTAATTATTGGATGCTTGATCCATCATGTGAAGATGTATATATCGGTGGGACGACGGGAAAATTAAGGCGTCGAACAAATTCATTACAACGTAGTCGACTGTTTAATTTACGCTTAGCTAGTTATTATGCATCATTAGCTAGAACTTATGCAATGCCACCCAGTGGTGAACAGTTCTCAGCAAATCCCTTCTTAATGTTCCCTCATCATCCTCATCCTCATCACCCTATGATGACTCATAAATCTCAGTTTATTCCAAACAATAACAGTAACAGTAGTATAAATTCATTTCATCCACCATCGAATTATGTACCATCATTTTTGGACGCTTTTAATCGTATTCCCAATGAACAAGGATCACCTTTTCCAAATCCTTTTATTCATTCTACTTATGAAAATTTACCTTTCCATAAAACGTGTCTACCGAATAACTGTGAACTAGCATCGGATGAATTAAATATGCATCAATCGAATGTACACAAATATAATCCTCTATTAAGCCATTTATCTCAACCAGCATCTTCATCCTCTACATCTTCAATATCAGCGCCATCATTCTATCCTACCTCACATGGAGTGCTTCATCAATTCAATTCCTATCCTAATACACTATTACATCATGAATGTGAAGATAAATTCCCTGAAAAACAATGGCTTTCAGGGAATCTTAGATTAGACTGTCCAGATTCTACAATATGGAATCAATCAAAACTGCATACTAGTTGTTGTTTACCAATCAATAAACAGTCAGCACATGCATCTTCAACAAAGAAAACTTCGGCCTCCGATCCAATTTTAAAGATGATGATGACAACTGGTATAGAACAGCAACAACAGCAACATTCTGAAAATTCTGAACAAAAACTTCATGAATCTATGGATTTATTATTAGGTATGTATGGATCGCTTTTTAATACGCAGAATAGTATAATAAGCCAGACAAATAATCCCAATCATAGTAAGAATAACAAAGATATTGATTTGAATTATAACTTACCACTAAGCACAAGGAAAGTGTGAGTTATTTATGCGTTACTCATGATTGTGATTGCATATATAATAACTTGAAGTCAATTTAACCTTCATATCTATATGAGACATTATTATTATCTGTTTTCTAACATCAATTACTACTACAATTACTAGTACAATGAATCAAGTTAAAGTTCACATTTCTGTATTCACACTCATTTAATCATTATAATAACGACTAGTTCAGTTAATTTAATGATGCAATGATGATAGATTCACTCACTATATGTAAGTAAATTGATTGTAAACATTTGATGATGATTGTATATCTTCTTTTTCTCTTTTTTTCCCCTCTCCTTTTGTCCCCTTTTACCTTTTATAACTAGTCATTTATGTAATCTGTAAATTTCTCATAATGCGTACACATTTTGTTCTCAGAGTTTCTATGTATAACTTATATACTCAAGTACATTATCTTTTTGTTCAAATGACACTATTCAAATACTCTTATTTTCGATTCATTTATTATTTTTAATTACTTTATAGTGTATATAATAAATATAGGTTTCATTTAAAATATAAAAAACAAGTTAATAACGTGTATATGATTGTAGTAATTTATTTTATATATTTGGGAAGTCACTACTGATGTGGAAGTTATTTGCTTACGAATAATGATAATACTTGAAGTAAGGTTTGACGTTCCAAGTGGAACATAGGGCTTCAAGCTAGAGCTTTGAAGTTTCGGTAGTAGTGGTTTCATTTTTACAGGGTGGGGTTACTAGCCTCATGCCCAACCTTTCCTCTTTACCGGTCTTACTAACAGCTTAATTAAGTTTAGGAGTGCGTCAGCCGAGAATCGATCCCCGGACCACGTGTGTCGTTGGCTAGTGTTCTACCGCTGAAACACAGACGCATGCCAGTTATTCATTACTGAGACATATCGATGTATTAAGAGAAATGCTGTTGTTTAGCGAGAAAAGCTCTTTCCTTTCACAATAAATAATCTTTTACTGGACCATACCTAGACAGATGCGCGGTGTTGCTTGATTTTACTGTTTCCCCTGGCTGACATTGGTTTATGATGGAATCTGTCATGTAATAGTCTCAGGTTTCAAGAGTTTTACGTGTAACCTACTATTATTCTGTAATAATGGATTTTGACATGTAAAGTTGATCCTCTATGTCTATTTTAAATTCTTCCCTGTTAGCATCTAAGTGAAGAGATATCTGAATATTTATTATAAAACTCTAGACAACGGTGCCTTGTGATGAGTGCTACTCTTAAACTGATAAGTTCGTTACAATGAACTCGACTACAAATAAACAAAGCTATAACCACTTCACAGAGTTTTAGACCATAACAAAAAACTTAACAGTAAAGACTCTCACGTCATTCTGTCGACAACAAAGAAAACTAATCATTTCCCACAAGATAAAATGCTTTGTATAACAGGTGTTACGCAATTAAGGGAATAGGCTCATAGGTATTGATGCATGTAACAGTTTAAAGAGATACTTAGTAGCATTGCAATTCTAAGGCTACACATTCACTTGATTTACTTATTATCCGATCACTGACCCAGACATTTTGTGCTTAATCAGCCTATTTCTTTCAGTGAATTTGTCATATAATTCTACAGTTTCTTACTTTCCATACTAAGGCCGCAATATGGTTGTATGTCGCAGCATACAATGACTCGTTCTAGCTTGACTATCACAAGAGAGAAAATACAGTCAGAGATATAAAACACCATTTTATTTAAACATTTATGATGCAAAAAGTTGTCTCAATAAAGCCGAATGAAGAAAAGTTTATAAACTAGTGAGTAACAGTTACTCAATACTTTTGGGTTCCCAGTGGTTCCCTATGTGGTGTTAATTCTTGATAATAATAATTAAATTCCTTAAACAATGTTAATATACGCATCCGAATGATAAGATGTTAAGAAAAATTGGTTCAACATCAACACTCAGATGACTGAAGCGTGCTGAAGTACAGTATGCCATACACTATAGGAAAGATGAAGTTGTCAACCCATAACTGCATTTATATAATTATTATACACCTGAGAAAAGCTTTTTCATTCCCTAGTCAGTAAGAACGTTTCTTTGAATTTATAATACTACTTGTTATCAGAAAATAATCTACCCATGAAATCTCCGTAATGTCCAATGTCTATAATCAAGGAGGTAAATCCTTACATCAGAGAAGATATAATTATTAAAATCTTAATCAACAGATCGATAACCAAAAGGAAGTTCAGCAGTTTAATAAGGTTGACATATACTTTCCAAAAATCTCTATTCAAGACTAAGTTTATCCAAAAAGAGTAGTGGTTATATTTATCCAATACACTGTGAATAATCTGATCACGCATCTAACTGCCAATTCGAATTACGTGAAAATAAAGAAATGTAAAACCAATAGAATAAGGATAATAATATGGGATTTAAGGGTATGAAGGACGGTAATTAACACCATATTTGGCAATCCAATCAGATAAGGATCACCAAAGTAGGTTACGTGTAATAATAAATTGTCTTTTAGCACCCATAATGGAGGCTTAGTTTTGCATTTTTGGCCTTAGCGTAGTTCAGTACATGCCACTAAAGATTTCGGTATATAATTATGAAGAATGTTTTAACAACGATCACATGATTCATGTCAACAATATGCCTTGCTGTGGATGAGGCTGATTGTCTGGCGTCTGCACTTATCGAGATATGGGAGTGTAGGTATTTTTAGATGAATGTTCTCCACCTTCATTTACAAAGAGCGATTACTAAACATGTAGGGGATGTGGCGCAATCACCAGTGAAATGTTAAGGTTTTTACTAGAGCAAGTTTTATTGGCTTTTTCATCAGTGGTGGATTGGATTGCATAATGTCTCAAAATCATGCTAGTAGTGTTAGGTAGTTTAATGTAAAGATTCTTTTTTGGAACAGAGTAAACTGTAGTTGTTAAAGTTAATTGTCCTTTACAGCGGTTTAAAAACTTCCAAAGGTATCTGTTTTCTCAAAAGTGTATTAGTTAATATTTTGTTGTTATCATCTGTATCCTCTGAAAGAAACATTTTATCAAATCTCTCTGGTAATGCATAGGATAGAAACTAGGAAAATTTGAACACTGTTCTGTCCAAGTATACTTTGCAAAGATTGATCGTTTTACTGAGTCATCTTCTTTTCTACTCAAAAGTATCTCTGATTAAGCGAACTGATTACACCTTTCTTCATCACATGTAAAGCTGATATGATTTTGTACGGAACTGCGTCTCTCCAATAGACATGCTACATCGTCATGCTTGCGACACACTACAGTGATGTCACTAACATACCTTCTCTACCAAGTGGCCTAAGCAGTCAAAACACTACACAGATTTTCACCATTTTATTGGCATACATCAATCAGTAATGATCTTAATAAACTCTTCATAACAACACCTTTCACTCGTTGAAAGTGTTCATCACCAAAAGTCAAATGAACGTTATCAGTACATAATGATAGTAGGTCCTTTAAATATATTGGATAAATAAGGAATGAAGAATCACTAGAGGATATGCAGTCACAAAAAAACATTAAAAGTCTTGATTAAAGGTACATCAGTAAATCAAGAGTATACTGCAGGATGGTATATTTACTTGTCTTTGACATTTTTCTCAGCAAAGGAATTAACAAGTTCTAAAAATCGTTTCAACAACAATTTACATACTTCACTGAGAAGTGAGCTTAAACTTTGTGCCAACTATTTTACCCGTTTATGTATAGGAGAAAGAAGCAGTGATAGCGTCGGTTGTAAAGGACTATTAGGTCTGTGAATTTATATGTACTTAGAAATGCAGATCTCATCAATTTTAAAGAATTAAATCCCTCTTTATAGATAATATTCATGCTTCAAGGCTTTACTACACTGGATGTTAATTTTCCGTCTTATTTTCTAATATACTCTGGTGGGGTGTCTGTCATGAATTTGCTTTCATCTTCAAGAATGGATACTATTCTAATTTTATGATTATATTTATTCATTACAATTATACCTAATCCTCTGTCAGATTTCAGGGCAATTAATTCAGATCTATTGCGTAGTTGTTTCAGGGCTTTGAAGTGCTTGCATTGAGAATGCATTTTTTGAATTATGGGACTGATAAGCAATATCAACTAATTTAGGCTTCAACCAACTTTGGCTATCTGAAAACATAGAAACTAGAGGACTCAAATAAACATATAGACTTTAAAACTGAGCATCAATGGGTAAATCAGAATTACCGTTTGATGGAACAAAGAAGAACAAAGAATCGGGTCCCAGTGGCTGAATGGTATACGAGCTTGCCTTGTAACCTGAAGGTCCCGGGTTCGAATCCCAGTGGGTGCGTACTGCCGATGATTCCCAAACTAGGATGAAACAGCAGCTGTCCAGTACTCCCTGGTCTTCAATGGTTCTCTAACTGATATCAGTCCGTGATCAACTCGTAAAAGAAGTTGAATCCAAGAGATAGTGCCTTTTATGTGTCGTGAAAGTTCAACAGACGATGGACTTGTCAAATTCTTATTTTGATTTCCAGATAATGAATTCAACTGATAGTCATTAGTGCACGATTTGAATAATTTTTGTCTAGTTTCTTCCTTCATTTTAATAATGAGGAAATTGTGAAATTGATCCATTTGAAATGACAGATTCAAATAACACTCTAGGAACTATGCCAAGAAGTTAAATTAATCTGCTTACTTCACAGTGGAATAGTCTATATGTGATTTTGTAAAACGAATGAAATTTGCAAGATTCTTTAGTCCTGTAGAGGATCTTAGAGATTTTACACGGTAATGTTTATGTGATTTCATTACCAAGAGTACAGTCAGTTATAATCCTCTGTTCTTTTAAGTCCCTTATTATTACGATTGTTGTTTAACTGACCTTACCTCTCTTTATTTTCATATAACTTGTGTAATCAGATTATTCGAAATATATTGCGTAAGTACACCAAATTTTCTTAAGATAAACTCCACTATCCATATGTATTAAAAGGACTGACTGTTTTAAACCTCTTTCCAGTCAGTGGCACTATCCAGAGTGAACTTCAGGCTTGCCACTGCAAAAAAGTGATAAATTATTGAAACTCATTAACCGCCGTTAAGCGTCAAAGATAGAAAACAATAATCCACTTTTTGAAACATCGACGTCTAAACATAAATAGTGCGACAAATCTACATAAAATATACATTTGTCAATATATTTCCCTCAGTTAGTGTCTTTGTCTTACAATACAATATTCAAAAACGGTGGAGGGTGTGCTACGAATTTTCAAACTAAGCTTTCTACTACTAGCTAATATTAAGTAAAATAGTTCAGACATCAATCAACGTTTTGCCTTTAAAGTGTGCTACTTATGAGTCAGAGTATTGGAATTTTTGTTATAGCAT